CTGCAGGCCCGGAGCTTGTGCCCCACACAGGGGCCTGTCCTCTCCACAGCCTGGCCAAGGACTGCTCTGAGGCTGTAAGCGGCCTTCTCACACCCCAGAAAGCTCCCCACTGCCTCCCCCTCCACTCGCTCTCTACGCTCCACCGCCCCTCTTCTCCCTGAGATGGGGAAGGATCCCTGCTCCATCTGGCGGGATGCCCTCTCCCTTCCTGCTTCTCCTAGGGGCCGAGCCGAGCATCCCTTCTAAGCTCAGAGTTTCTGTGATGGCTGCACATAGCATCTTCTTCCGGCCCAGCCACGCTCGCATGGAGAGCCTGGAAGCTCCCCGCCTAGGCGAGGGCCGCCCAGCCCCTCCACCCCACTCACCCCTGACCTTTCCTTCCAGGCTCCACTCAGGACCATGAGCGCAGGCTTCCCTGGGGCCCACCGAGGGCTGAGGATGGCCGTCCAGCCCACTACCCGGGGCCCCACTCGGACAGCTGCATCGTCCTAGCGCCAGGACGGAGGGGCCATGCCTGGGGAGCGCCCCCGAGGAGCGCCACCCCCCACCATGACTGGAGACCTGCAGCCCTGCCAAGTTGCCAGCAGCCTGGGGCGCCCCTCCCAGCCCCCACTGGAGGACAACACCCCAGCCAGCAGGACCACCAAGGATGCCAGGGAGGCTGGCGGCCGGGCCCAGGCCATGGAGCTCCCCGAGGTCCAGCCAAGGCAGGCCAGGGATGGGGAGCCCAAGCCCCCACCCCTGAGAGGCCAGGCCCTGAGCAGCACCCCTGGGAATGGGGGCAGCCCCCAGACCCCGCCGGGGAGAAGCCCCTTGCAGGCTCCCTCAAGGCTGGCGGGCAGGGCAGAGGGCAGCCCCCCGCAGTGCTACAGTCTGAGCATCGCCAGCTCGAGGACCAAGCCCATCCTGGACGAGACACCAGAGAACCCACAGCTGGAGGCTGCCCAGCTCCCTGAGGCGGAGGCCCCCCGGGCCCTTGGGACTGGAACTCCACTCAGGCCGGGCCTCCCAAGGACTGAGGCCCAGTCCACCGCTGAAGAGCTTGGCTTCCACAGGTGCTTCCAGGAGACACCCTCCAGCTTTACCTCCACCAACTATACCTCACCAAGCGCCACCCCCAGACCCCCAGCCCCGGGGCCCCCCCAGAGCAGGGGCACCAGCCCCCTCCGGCCCCGTTCCTATCCCGAATTCCAGGCCAGTGGGGCCGACTCCTGGCCTCCCGCTGCTGAGAATAGCTTCCCAGGTGCTAATTTCGGGGCTCCCCCCGCCGAGCCGGAGCCCATTCCCAAAGGCAGCAGGCCCGGCGGCAGCCCCAGGGGAGTTTCCTTCCAGTTCCCCTTCCCGGCACTGCATGGGGCCAGCACAAAACCCTTCCCTGCGGATGTGGCTGGGCACGCATTCACCGATGGGCCACTGGTGTTTGCCTTCCACCAGCCCCAGGGAGCGTGGCCGGAGGAGGCCGTGGGCACGGGCCCTGCCTACCCGCTGCCCACCCAGCCTGCGCCCTCACCCCTACCCTGCTACCAGGGCCAGGCAGGTGGCCTCAACCCACACAGCAACCTCAGTGGTGCCCTCTCTCCCCCTGGAGCTGCTCACTCGGCCCCGAGACCCTTCTCCGACAGTTTGCACAAGAGCCTGACCAAAATCCTTCCCGAAAGACCACCTTCAGCCCAGGATGGGCTGGGGAGTACAAGAGGGCCCCCTAGCTCCCTACCCCAGAGGCACTTTTCAGGGCAGGCATACGGAGCCAGCGGGGTGGACACCAGCCCGGGGCCTCTGGACACTGAGCTGGCTGCCCCAGGGCCCCCACCTGCCAGGCTGCCCCAGCTGTGGGATCCCACAGCAGCCCCCTACCCCACACCTCCCAGGGGCCCCCTGGCTGCCACCAGGAGTGTGTTCTTTAACAGCCAGCCCAGCCCAGGCCAGCGGCTCTGCCTGCCCCAGAGTGCCCCCCTGCCTTGGTCCCAGGTGCTCCCGACCACTGGGCCAAGCCCCCATGGAATGGAGATGCTGAGCCGGCTGCCTTTCCCCGCGGGGGCCCCCGAGTGGCAGGGGAGCAGTCAAGGAGCCCTGGGCACTGCTGGCAAGACACCGGGACCCGGGGAGAAGCTGCCAGCCGTGAGAAGCAGCCCAGGCGGCTCCCCGGTGCTGTTCACCTACAACGGAATGACAGACCCTGGAGCCCAGCCCCTGTTCTTCGGGGTGGCCCAGCCCCAGGTTTCACCCCACGGGACACCCAGCCTGCCCCCACCCAGGGTGGTGGGAGCCTCCCCCAGCGAGTCCCCGCTGCCGTCACCGGCCACCAACACGGCCGGCAGCACCTGCTCTTCCCTGTCGCCGATGTCCAGCAGCCCCGCCAACCCCAGCTCAGAGGAAAGTCAGCTCCCCAGCTCACTGGGGCCCCCGGCCTTCTTCCACCCACCCACTCACCCCCAGGAGACGGGCAGCCCCTTCCCGTCCCCGGAGCCCCCCCACTCCCTCCCCACCCACTACCAGCCAGAGCCAGCCAAGGCCTTTCCTTTTCCCGCAGATGGGCTGGGAGCCGAGGGTGCCTTCCAGTGCCTGGAGGAGACCCCATTCCCCCACGAGGGCCCCGAGGTGGGCCGGGGAGGGCTGCAGGACTTCCCCCGCGCGCCGCCCCCGTACCCCACACACCACTTCTCCCTCAGCAGTGCCAGCCTGGACCAGCTGGACGTGCTGCTGACCTGCAGGCAGTGCGACCGCAACTACAGCAGCCTGGCGGCCTTCCTGGCACACCGGCAGTTCTGCGGCCTGCTCCTGGCCAGGGCCAAGGATGGCCACCAGCGGTCCCCAGGCCCCCCTGGGCTCCCCTCGCCCACCGCTGCCCCCAAAGTCCCCGCCGACGCACATCCGGTCCTGCTCAACCACACGAAGACCTTCCTGTTGGCCGGGGACGCCCAGGCGGAGGGTAAAGACGACCCGCTGAGGACGGGCTTCTTGCCCAGCCTGGCTGCCACCCCCTTCCCGCTCCCCGCCTCGGACCTGGATATGGAAGACGACGCCAAGCTGGACAGCCTCATCACCGAGGCGCTCAACGGCATGGAGTACCAGTCGGACAACCCCGAGATCGACAGCAGCTTCATCGACGTCTTTGCGGACGAGGAGCCTTCCGGGCCCAGAGGTCCCAGCACTGGACAGCCCCCCAAGACCAAGGCGGGGGTGACTCCGGAGAACAAAGCTCCGCCCCCGCTCCCAGCAGCCACACCGGACCCCCAAGCCCCCCGCCCTGGGGACAGGGGCGGCCCAGCCCGGGGCAGGCCCAAAACGCGTTCCCTGGGTCTGGCCCCCATCGAGGCGGATGCGTCCAGCCAGGGCAGGCAGCAGAGGAGAGGGAAGCAGTTGAAGCTGTTCCGGAAGGATCTGGGCACGGCCAGCGCAGCAGAGGGGTCGGGCGGGGGCAGCAGAGCCACCGGCCTGAGGCCCAGGAGGAAGGGCAGTCTCGGGGAGCGGCCCCCACCCCGCCCCCGGGGCTTTAGAACTCAGGGCCCCGAAGGCCGTGCAGACCCCGCCCGCCAGTCTCGGGGAGCCGCCGCCCTCCCCGAGGAGACCCGGAGCTCCCAGCGCCTCCGGCTGCCCCCCAGGAAGGACCCCAGGAAGAGGAAGGCTCGGGGCGGCACCTGGGGCAAGGAGCTCATCCTGAAAATCGTGCAGCAGAAGAACAAGCGCTACCGGCGGCTGGGGCTGGGGCGGCAGACGGGCAAGCGCAGCTCCCTGGCGGCGGAGAGGCCCCAGCCCGGTGCCGAGGACCGCAGGCTCCGCGAGTACGACTACGCCTCGGAGTCCGAGGAGGACGAGCCGCCTCCGCAGCGGGGCCCCGGCTTCAGAGGCCGGCGGTGCCGAGGCGAGAAGAGGAAGGAGGTGGACTCGACCCCGGATCCCAGAGAGGATGGAGAGCAGCAGATACCCCGGAAGGCAGTGAGGCAGGAAGCCGGCGGGGACAGAGCCCCCCCGAACCCCGAGGAGCCAGGCAGGCCTCGCCCAGGCCTGGGCAGGAGCCCTCAGGCCCATGGCCCATCTCGAAGCCTGGAGCCGGGAGTGGCTGCCAGGGAGAGAGGCCCCAAGTGTGCTGATCTCCCCTCAGTGGCCCCCAAGGATCCCCTGCAGGTCCCCACCAACACCGAGACCCCAGAGGAAACCCCCCCATCGCTGGACTTGCCCCAGGAGGCCAAGGAGCCTGAAATTGCCAAAGAGTCACCCCCAGACACCGCAGAATTCACAGAGCCTTTGCGTTCTCCTCCAGCCGCCTGTGTGGGAGAAAGCCGCCGTCTCCTGACGCCAGAGCAGCCGCAGCCCAGCAGACATGACGCCGGCACCCCCAAGTTATCCGGAAGCCTCGCCAACACAGTGCCCCACGGAAGCTCACCAACGCCAGGCGTGGGCAGCCTGCTGGGTGGTCCTGGGTGCACACAGGCCCCTGTCTCCCACAACAGCGAGGACCCCCCTGCCCACCAGCCTGGAGAATTTCTGGCACCCATGGCTAACCCCTCAAGTACCGCCTGCCCCAAACCCAGTGTTCTGTCTTCAAAGATCTCCAGTTTGGGCTGTGACCCTGCTGGTTTTAACGGAGACCCCTTGGGGGTTCCGGTTGCCAAAAAGGGGCCTCAGTCCTACAGCAGCCCCCACAGTGAGTTGTTCCTTGGACCCAAAGACCTGGCTGGCTGTTTCCTGGAAGAACTGCACCCCAAGCCCTCAGCCACAGATGCCCCGCCGGCCAGCAGCTCCTGCCTTTGCCAGGATGGCCAGGATGCCGGTTCCCTCGAGCCACAGCTGCCTAAGAGGCCACCTGGCATGGCTGAAACGGACCCAGGCAGAGCCACGTCGCCACTGACCTTGGAGTCCACATCCCTTTTCCCAGACCTGCCGGTGGATAGATTCGACCCACCCCTCTATGGCAGCCTGTCTGCAAACAGGGACCCCCAGCTGCCATTCGCATGTGCCGACCCTCCCCAGAAGACGCCACCGTTAGATCCACCGTACCCCTCTTTTTTGCTGCTTGAGGAAGTATCCCCGATGCTGCCTAGCCATTTTCCTGATCTCTCGGGGGGAAAGGTGCTCAGTAAGACGTGTCCCCCTGAACGGAGAGTGGCTCCCGGTGCCCCGCCTTTGCCTGGGAAGGGGAGCGGCTGTAATGTCGCTCTTATGAGTCACCTGTCCGAGGACGAACTGGAGATCCAGAAATTGGTCACCGAGTTAGAAAGTCAGCTGCAAAGAAGCAAAGAAACGCATGGGGCCCCGAGAGAGCTTGGAGAAGCTGAGTCTGTGGGCCGGGTGGAGCTGGACACAGGCACAGAGCCACCCTCCCAACCGCACACGTGCCAGGCCACTGCGCCCCACAGGGACACGTTCTCAGCAGCTGACCTCAGGGGCGTTGGGGAATCTACCGCACATCGAGAGGGTGCGGAAACGGCTGTGGCCACCGTGGAAGGGGTTCAGGGGAGGCCCGGGGGGACGTGGCCCTGCCCAGCCTCCTTCCATCCGGGAGAGGCAACCCTTCTCCCCTGTGCCCAGGAAGACCTGGTTTCTGGGGCTCCTTTCAGCCCCAGGGGAGCCAACTTCTATTTTCAGCCGGTGCAAAAAGCCAGAGCGTCCAAGACTGGACTCTCCCAGGCAGAAGGAAACAGCGGGGTCCCCCCAGATATCTGCCTGCCTGACCCCAGCAAACAGCCGGGGCCACAGCTGGATGCCGGGAGCTTAGCAAAGTGCAGCCCCAACCAGGAACTTTCATTTCCTAAGAATAAGGAGGCCGCCGGCTCACAAGAAAGTGAAGACTCCCTGTGGCCGCTTCCCTGTGAACAGAGAGGAGGGTTCCTCCCAGAACCCGGCACAGCAGACCGGCCCCACCGAGAGACTCCTGCTCCAGAAGCTTTTGGCAGCCCTGCTGTCCATCTGGCCCCTGACTTGGCATTTCAGGGTGACGGGGCTCCACCTCTGGATGCCACCTGGCCTTTTGGTGCCAGTCACAGCCATACTGCCCAGGGACATTCTGCAGGCAAAGCAGGTGGGCACTGCTACCCGACGGCAGGGAGGCCTGACTTTGAGGATAGTGAGTTTGCACCAGCAGGGGCCTCCTCACTGACTGCCCCCCGGGGCAGGGAGGCTTGGTTGGTCCCTGTGCCAAGTCCTGCTTGTGTGTCCAACACCCACCCCAGCAGGAGGTCCCAGGACCCAGCTTCGAGCCCCCTACGTCAGCTCCCGCTCCCAGGGCCCGGAGCGGCTGAGAGTGCAGATGGCATCCTGGGCTTGCAGGAGCCGACACCTGCTGCCCAGAGCCCTCGGCGAGTGAACCTCTCAGGTCACAAAGGGGGCACTGTAGAAGGAGGGAAGGTGGCCTGTGGCCCTGCCCAGGGCTCCCCAGGGGGTGTGCAGGTGACAACTCTCCCTGCAGTGACCAGATGTCAGCTGGGGCTGGAGGCAGATGGACATCAAGGCTTGCTTGGCCAGGCTGAGAAAACCCAGGGCCAAGGCAGAGGCAACCAGCTTCAGCCAGAGAACGGGGGGAGCCCAGGGGTGATGGATAACCACGCCTCAGTCAATGCCAGTCCCAAAACAGTGCTGGCCAGCCCCGCCGAGGGTGCAGTCCTGCTGGAGAAGCACAAGGGAAGCAGGGCAGCCACGAGCCTTCAGGAGGACGCCCAGCCCACCCCAAGCCCCCCATCCCCTGATAGGGAATCCCTAGCGCTGGTCTTAACAGCAGCCTACACCCAAAATGGATCTGAGGGCCGGACTCCAGAGCGGGCGTCCAGCGCTGGCCTGAACAAGCCACTGCTGGCCGAAGGGGATAACCCAACACCCTCTGTTGGGGACCTGACCACCTGCGCCCCCTCACCCACTTCAGCCACCCCCATGCCCTGCAGCCTCGGGCCCCTCCCCCGTGAAGACCCACCCACCTCGCCTTCCAGTGCCACCAAGGCCCGAGGTGGGCTGGGGGGGCAGCTGCCAGTATCTCCATCCTGCAGGGACCCTCCCGGCCCCCAGCACCTGCTGGCCTGTTCTCCTGCCTGCGCACCTCTGGAAGAGGCAGATGGTGTTCAAGCCACGACAGATACTGGAGCTGGGGATCCCCCAGTGGTTCCCCTGTCTTTGACAACAAGCCCCTGTGATCCCAAGGAAGCCCTGGCTCATTGCCTTCTCCAGGGTGAGGGCAGCCCCCTGGAAGACCCTTCCTCCTGGCATCCTGGCTCCGTCAGTGCCATAACCTGCAGTCGCGGCAGGGACAGCCCCAAAGACAGCACTTTAAGAATTCCAGAGGATTCCAGAAAAGAGAAGCTGCAGAAGTCTCCTGGCCAAGCCACCTCTCCTCCTCTGGCGGGGGCTGTCTCCCCCTGCGTGGCCATCAGGGCTGCTGGCCTGTCGAGCACTCCCACCGAAGATGAGGCACAGGCAGGCAGGGGGCTCCCAGGGCCAGACCCCCAGAACAGGGGAGCCCCGCCCCACACCAACCCTGACAGGATGCCCAGGGGCCACTCCTCGTATTCTCCAAGCAATACTGCCCGCCTCAGCCACAGGGAGGACCAGGTTGTCACAGCTGTGCCCACTGAGCCTCCCACACTACAGGGTACAGGGCCAGACTCCGCCACCTGCCTGGAAGCTGAGGTGGGGAGCAGCAGCAAGGAGCCAGAGGACCCAGGGACCCCTGAGGCCGGGCGCTCTGGCGTTACCAAGATGCCCAGGGTCACCTGCCCTTCCACAGGACTCTCCTTGGGCAGAACCACAGCTCCAAGCAGCACAGCCAGTGACTTCCAGTCTGACTCCCCCCAAAGTCACAGAAATGCCTCCCACCAGACTCCCCAGGGGGACCCCCTCAGCCCCCAAGACCTCAAACAGAGGCCTCGTGGCTATAAAAAGAAGCCTGCGTCTACAGAGAATGGCCACTGGAAGGGCCAAGCTCCACACGGACCTGTGACCTGTGAGGTCTGCGCAGCCTCCTTCCGCTCCGGGCCGGGCCTGAGCCGGCACAAGGCCAGGAAGCACCGACCACACCCGGGAGCCCCCGCGGAGGCAAGCCCAGCGGCCTTACCTGCTCAGCAGCCTCTGGAGCCCCTAGCCCAAAAGTGCCAGTCCCCCAGGAAGAAAAGCCGCAAGGTGCCTGGGAAGGAGAGACCAAATCACTCACGGGGAGACCCCAGCCACGTGGCCCAGCCACCGCCTGCCCAGAGCCCGAAGGAGGTTCTCAGAACACAGGGGAACACGGGCTCCCCACATAGCCAGCAGCTGCAGCCTCCAAGCCCTACTGAGCATGGGGTGAATGTGAAGGCTCCGGCCTCCAAGCCCAGATCAGACCAGGACAGGGAAGATGAGCTCCATCCCAAACAGGTAGAGAAAAGAGAAGGCCGGAGGTGGCGCCGAGAACCCACCGTGGACTCCCCCAGCCACTCAGAGGGGAAGTCAAATAAGAAAAGGGGAAAGCCAAGAGGTAGAAGGCTCCGGGAGGAGAGCGCCCGTCTAGCCTCTTCTGATGGGATTTCAGATGGGCGTGGCTCCAGACCATCCCCTGCAACGGCCAGTTACGCAGTCCCTCTGAGCCGCTGCCTCTCTGTGGAAGGAGGGCCTGAGACTGACAGGGAGCAGCCACCTCGCTTGGCCACGCCGGGGCCTGGGGTGATGGAGGGTGCAGCGGAGACCGACCTGGAGACTCTGTGTGCAGGGGAGACTGGGGTCCAGAAGCCACCTGGAGATCAGATGCTGCGTCCAGGGAGGATGGATGGTGCAGCTCTGGGGGAACAGCCAGCTGGGCAGAAGGGAGCCTCGGCAAGGGGGCTCTGGGGACCGAGAGAGACCAAGGCGTTGGGTGTGTGCAAAGAGTCTGGGAGCGAGCCTGCGGAGGACAGCAGTGGGGCCCACAGCAGATCAGAGGAAGGCGTCTGGGAGGAGCACACGCCTGCCTTGGGCCCCCTGGGTTTTCCTGAGACTTCCGGTTCTCCAGCGGATGGCACTACCAGCAGCTGCCTCCAGGGCCTCCCGGACAACCCAGATGCCCAGGGTGGAGTCCAGGGGCCTGAGGGCCCCACTCCTGATGCCTCCGGCTCCAGTGCTGAGGATCCTCCAAGCTTGTTTGATGATGAGGTCTCTTTCTCCCAGCTCTTCCCTCCAGGTGGCCGCTTGACTCGAAAGAGGAACCCGCGTGTCTATGGGAAGCGCTGTGAGAAGCCGGAGCGCCCGCTGCCAACCCAGCCCAGCTTCGAGGAGGGCGGCGGCCCCACGCTGGGCCCAGCCGGCCTGCCCACGGACCTCAGCGACTCTGGTTCCCTCTGCCTCTGCCATGAGGACCCGTGGGAGGATGAGGATCCCGCAGGTCTGCCCGAGTCCTTCCTCCTGGATGGGTTCCTCAGCAGCAGGGTGCCTGGCATTGACCCCTGGGCTCCTGGCCTCAGCCTGTGGGCCCTGGAGTCCAGCAGGGAAGCGGGTGCAGAGAAGCTGCCCTCTCACTGCCCGGAGGACGATCCGCCCGAGTCCATTCCTGAACTGCACATGGTCCCAGCGGCTTGGCGAGGCCTGGAGCTGCCGGCCCCTGCCGATGACTCCTCCTCTTCTCTCGGAGACGTGAGCCCCGAGCCCCCCAGCCTGGAAAGAGAACGCTGTGACAGTGGGCTTCCCGGGAACGCCCACCTGCTGCAGCTCCGGGCAGCGGACTTCGAGGTGCTCAGCACCAAGTTTGAGATGCAAGACCTGTGCTTTCTGGGACCCTTTGAAGACCCAGTGGGTCTCCCGGGCACCAGCTTCTTAGACTTGGAGGCCACGGCGAGCTCCCAGGGGCCACAGAGCCTAAGGACAGAGGAGGCTGCAGGGGCAGGGAGGGCCCAAGGCAGAGGCCGGCCGGCCAAGGGCAAGCGGGCCTCCTACAAATGCAGGGTGTGCTTCCAGCGCTTCCGCGGCCTGGGCGAACTGGACCTGCACAAGCTGGCCCACATGCCCGCGCCACCGCCCACCTGCTACATGTGCGTGGAGCGCAGGTTCGGCTCGCGGGAACTGCTGCGGGGGCACCTGCAGGAGAGGCACGCGCAGAGCAAGGCGGGGCCCTGGGCCTGCGGCATGTGTCTGAAGGAGGTGGCCGACGTCTGGATGTACAACGAGCACCTGCGTGAGCACGCCGTGCGCTTCGCCCGCAAGGGGCAGGCGCGGAGGTCCTTGGGGGAGCTGCCCAGAGGCCTGGAGGGCAGCAGCGCCATTGCCCACCTTCTGAACAGCATCATGGAACCCGCGCCCAAACCCCACAGGGGCAAGCGCTCCGTGGGCAAGGCCGTCAGGAGCCCGGGAGACCCGTCGGGGAAAGAGGAAGAAGCCGGGAAAGAGAGCCCCGGCGAGAGGGCGAAACCCCGAGCGCGCAGCACCCCCAGCAACCCCGAGGGGGCGGCGGCACCAGACAGCGCCTCTGTCAATGCCCTGGCTGACGCCGGCAGCCCTGCGGCCTGCGAGAAGCCCGCTCCGGCCGGCAGCCCGGGCCTCCCCAAGACGACCCCCGGCCCGTCCCCCGACCCCGGGGCCGGCGGGGAGCCCCTCCTGCAAGCCGCCCCGGTGCACGAGGCCTGCAAGGACCAGTCCCGCGACTGCCACCACTGCGGGAAGCGCTTCCCCAAGCCCTTCAAGCTGCAGCGCCACCTGGCGGTGCACAGCCCGCAGCGCGTCTACCTGTGTCCGCGGTGCCCCCGGGTCTACCCCGAGCACGGGGAGCTGCTGGCACACCTGGGCGGGGCGCACGGGCTGCGGGAGCGGCCGGAGCTGCAGCACACGCCGCTGTACGCCTGCGAGCTCTGCGCCACGGTTATGCGCATCATCAAGAAGTCGTTCGCCTGCAGCTCCTGCAACTACACCTTCGCTAAGAAGGAGCAGTTCGACCGCCACATGGACAAGCACCTCAGGAGAGGGCGGCAGCCCTTCACGTTCCGCGGCGTGCGGAGGCCGGGAGCGCCAGGGCAGAAGGCCCGGGCCCTCGAGGGCACACTGCCCAGCAAACGGCGCAAGGTGGCCATGCCCGGCAGTGCCCCCGGGCCCAGCGAGGACCAGCCTCTTCCCCGGGGAGGCAGCCCCATCCTGACAGAGGGCTCCCTCCCAGCCCTGCTCCACCTCTGCCCGGAGGTGGCTCCCAGCACCACGAAGGGATGGCCTGAGACCCCAGAGAGGCCTGTAGACCCCGTGACCCACATGATCAGTGGTTGCGATCTGCCATCCGACCGTCGGGAGTGTCCTCCGCCGTCTCTGTCTCCCTTCCCAGCTGCCTTGGCTGATGGCAGAGGGGAGTGTGCGCTGGACAGAGCCCTGAAGAGGCCAGAGAACGAGGCTTCCCCAGGCAGCCCCAGGCCTCTTCTCCAGCAAGCTCTCCCTCTGGGGGCATCTCTGCCGCGGCCGGGGGCCAGAGGCCAAGATGCGGAGGGAAAGAGGGCTCCTCTCCTGTTCTCAGGGAAACGCAGGGCCCCGGGTGCCCATGGCAGAGGTGCCCCTGACCATCTCCAGGAAGATCACACCCTGCTTCAGAAAGAGAAGGACGTGTCCTCAAGCCACCTGGTGTCTGAGGGGGGGCCCGGAGGCCCCTTCCACAAGGGCAGCCCCACCAAGCCTTCGGGCTGTCAGAGCTCGTCAAAGGACAGGTCGGCAGCGTCCACCCCCAGCAAAGCACCCAAGATCCCAGTGCACCCAAGGAAGGCGGTGGGGAGCCTGGCACCCGGAGAGCTGGCCCGTGGCACAGAGAATGGGACGAAGCCCGCCACCCCCAAAGCCAAACCAGGCCCCAGCTCCCAGGGCAGTGGAAGCCCTCGCCCCAGCACGAAGACGGGAGGTGGCAGCCAGCCCCAGCCAGCCAGCGGGCAGCTCCAGAGCGAGACAGCCACCACGCCAGCCAAGCCCAGCTTCCCCAGCCGCAGCCCTGCACCAGACAGGCTCCCCCCTCGAGCCCAAGCCAAGAGCTGCACCAAGGGGCCAAGGGAAGCTGGTGAGCAGGGGCCGCGCGGGAGCCCAGGTCCCAAGGAGAAGGGAGAAAGCAGTATGAAGAGGAAAAAGGGCCAGGTTCCAGGGCCAGCCAGGAGTGAAAGTGTGGGGGGCTTTGGGAGAGCCCCCTCGGCCCCTGACAAGCCCCCCCGTACCCCTCGGAAGCAGGCAACTCCCAGCCGAGTGCCCCCGACCAAGACCAAGCCCAACAGCCAGAACAAACCCAGGCCACCACCCTCAGAGCAGCGGAAGGCAGAGCCAGGCCACACACACAGGAAGGACAGACTGGGCAAGGCCTTCCCCCAGGGGAGACCCCTGCTCAGGACCCCCAAGAGGGGCAGAGCTGTCCACGGTGCTGAACCTGCCGAGCCGCACACCCACCGGACGGCCGAGGCCCAGAGTGACCTCCTCAGCCAGCTCTTTGGGCAGAGACTAACTGGCTTCAAAATCCCTTTAAAGAAAGATGCTTCTGAGTAATTTCTAGGAGCAAGAGCCTGGGAGCGGAGCTGGGGGTTCCTGTCTGGGCCTGCCTCCTTGGCCAGCTCCAGCTCCCTGAGATGGTTCACTCTGTGGCCACTTGACTTCTTGTGCGACTGCTCAGTTCTTGATGTCAGAGCTGAGGCTGTGACGCTTTGAACAGGGCCCAGGGTAGGCAGCATTCCCTTTCTTGCTGGAAGGCTGCGGGTGAAAGACGGGGCCACTGCAGCCCCTTTGAGATCATACAGCTGTTTTCTTGGTACCAAGTACTTGAAGAGACAGCAGCCCATCCCCCCACCCCCACCCCTTCGCCCTGTTGGCACCGACACCATAGAAGCCAATGTTTGGAGATTTGCGCACCCTCCCGTTCCCCATATGGAGAAGGGAAGTAAGTTGAGGCAGCCGTGGGATGGTGGCAGGTTCCCTCTTAGTCTTGCTGCTGTTGCTGGAATTCCAAAGTGACCTTAGAAACCACGTTGGGGAAGGCAGTGCTCACTACTTAGAAGAGCTGCTTCTGAGCCGCCTGGTCCCCCAAGAGCACAACATGCCTCCTCCCTCTGACCACAGGGTCATGCCTCCTCCCTCTGACTACAGGGTCATGCCTCCTCCCTCTGACCACAGGGTCATGCCAGCCTCCATTTGCGCTGCCAGAGAAAAGCCCATCTCTAGCGCACCTTGACCCCGGGAACTGGGTTCCCGTATGGAACTGGGAAGAAACTGGCCCTGTGCCAGCTCCTGCGGGCCCTCCCCGTTCTCACCCCCCACACCCCAGCCTCCATGGCCGCCCTCTAGAGCCTCCCTGCTGTACGGAGTTCTGGGCTCCACCTATCTGCAATGTTACTCTGAAGTTTCTGGTGCTATTTTCATGTTGTAATGTGAATACAGGCTTCCTTGATTTTTTTTTTTTAATGGGGGTATTGGGTGGAACAGACGGGGTCAGGGAGGCCCCACCACGGCTGCATTGAGGGCACGGGCACCCACGTGGTGGCGCTCTCCCTGCCTCCCCTGCCAGGCTGCAAGCCCGAGGTCTGTGCTGCCAGACGGGGATGCTCAGGGCTGGGGCCGCAGAGCCGCTGCCCCAGCCAGGGCAGCCTCGTGCACTGACCTGACCCAGGCCCAGGACGCACGTGTCCTCTCAGAGTTGTGCCTGTGAAGGTGGGTCAAAGGGTGGGAGGGCTTCCTTCTCTCCGTAAGTATCTTGAAGATCCATGGTTTGTTTTGCTCTATTGTTTAGTTTTTATCTTGGGTGCAATGTGTATGACAAAAGTTTTTATTTTGATATTTGAAAGAGACCAAATCAGGCCCAGACTGCCTCTCTGGAAGGTGTTATGGGCCGTTCAAAATGCCTCCTGCCTCCGGAGTGTCGTAAACCAAGCACGGAGGGGCCCTGAGGTTGTACTGTAAACATCATAGTGACTTGTCTTTTCAAATATATTCCCACTATTTTCGCAGAAAACCTCCAGCTGTGTGACGTCTGTCCTCCCGCCAGTCGCCCACCCCTCGCCTGCACCTCCCTGAGCCTCAGAACTTGGTTCCCAGGGTGTCTGCACCGGCTGCCACTCTCAGGCCACCGTGGGCCAAGTGCCCGGCCAGGGCTGTGGGGCCTTGTGCAGGACCCAGTGATGCAGCCATGGCTGTGTCCTAAGCACACCCCTTCAGCAGTGGGGGCTGGCCCAGGTTTTCCAGAAAGGGGCAAGCCCACCCCAGCCATCCTCGCTGACGCCCCCCCTCACCCTGAGGAAGAACAGAGGGGAGGCTGAGGTGCCCTGGCACTCCTCCCCCACGTCAGAAGCCCAGGGAGTGATGGGGCTGGGCTGAGGGAGGGCCGGTGTGGGGCGTGGTCTCTGCCACCCTTGGGCCTCCCCACTGGCACCCGTCTGGTATGAGTTTTCCAGCCTTCACATGCCAGGATGCAGCCCTCCCAAGCTGGGGAGCCAGGCCCCCTCACCCACACAGAGACAGCCTTGTCCCCTCCTCTCTCCCACACACTGGTCCCTGCAAGTGTTCACATGTCCCTGCCTCAAAGCCTGCTCCCTCGTGTGCCCTTCCAGGTTTCTCCCGAGACTGTCTTCTGGAATGTTCTGTGGAAGCACCTGCCACTGACCATCACAGCATCCTCTCATCTTCTTGGCCGCTGGACTTGGTCAGCTTTCACCCCTCCCCCAGGTGGGCGCTGGGCCTCCCCTGCCTTCCACTTGTTGCTGGTGGAACTCACACCGTGAGGGCGTCTGCTAAGGGACCCGGCGTGGGGAGGGCAGTGCCTGACCTCGAAGCCCTGCTCTCGGGTGGATGGCGGATGCGTCATGCCAGCTGCAGGGGCTGGGAACATGGGGAGCTCCAGACCGCAGCAGGACCTGGGCGGGATCTTACAAATGATTCCCAGCAGGGCAGCGACACCTTCCCTCTTGTTAACACACGAAGATCATGAGGCCGCCAGCAGCGATGCCTCAGTCTTCCCCTCTGTTTCCAAAGCTTCTTGGCTCTGGGATGGGGTCCTCAGGGAGCAGAGTGGCTCCATTGAGGGGGGCAACGCAGGGAAGGGGCCAGGGCCGCAGGAGGAGTGGAACCAGGAGACCCTCCCCACCCAGCCTCCTGTGTCCTACAGAGCCCCTCAAAGATCCCAGTGCCTGGGGAACAAGTGACCCTCCCCAGTGAGGGTGGGTCACAGTAGGCCTCTGGGCAGATGAGGAGGCTGCTCAGAGGAGTCCCCAGCCCTCCTTGCCTCACCAGGCTGTCTTTCCTCCCCTCTTCCATGGGAAGCGGAACTCCTAAATGAGACACTTACCAGGGTCTCACCACTTCTGTCCAAGCACACGGTGCCCCTCTTCCCTGATAGACGGCAAATTCACCTGCGGTCTGTGGCTGTGGCCCACCTACCCCCGCCGCCTCCCCACCCGCCAGGCCCCTGCCTGCAGGGTTCCCTTGGCCAGGAGCACTGTTCCCAGGCCCTCACAAGGCCCCTTCCCTCCTTTCGGGCCCCTCCCCTCACACCTGCTGTCCTCTGCCCAGGTGGCTCTCTGCTTGGACCCTGGTTTTTGGGTCTTCCAGGCCCTGATGGTGGCAGAAGCCACAAGGCAGCCTGGGCCAGGCCTGCCTGCGGGAGGGGCTGGTGAGTGGGGGTGAGGCCATCTGCCCTCCCTCTTTGCTCACATTGTCCACCCACTATGCAAGGAGCCTAGCTCAGGGAAACGCAGACGCAGCCCCCAGGCGGGGCCTTCTGAACAGGTGCTGGTCTGGCACGGGGACGATGCCTGGCGGGTGAGCGGGTGGCTTCCTCTCCAGTGAGGAGGCCCCGCAGGAGGGCTGTAGACGGGTGTTGGAGGGAAGGGCGTGGAAAGGACCTTGCACCCCACACAGGGCTCTGAGTTGGTGTTTTGGGGCAGCGGTGGGTCACGGGGCTGCCTGTCTGGGCTTGGTATGTGAAACGGTCCCATGGACTTCATGGGTGAAGACCCTTGAGATCCCGCCAGGTCTGCAGTCTGGGACACTTGCTCCTGTTCAGTGCAGCGTGTCTCAGGCAGGGCCCCAGCCAGCAGCATCCAGGGTGCCCCACTTGGGTCAGCGGCTCTGGGACGGGGCTGGGCACTCGCTCCCACCAGCCTCGGGGGCTGACATTGGAGGGCTGCTGCTCTGAGCCATCTGAGGCCCTGCTCAGGGACTGCCAGGAGTGAGCCCTGCCCCTAGACACTCACCTCTCCTCCTATGGGGCCTGAGAGCACCGTGTGGCCGGAGACCTAAGGCGTGGATGGCCCCCGCCTGGCCACCAGGTGGCAGCATTCGCCTGGCCAGGGGGCCTGGCCTCCACCTGGGCAGGGCAGCCGCCTGCAGCCTCCAGAGGCACCACACCTGCCGGCCCCACACCCACCCGACCTGCCCACCATCCACGTGCACACCCGGGACCTCCACACACTAAAGGGGACAGACAGGCGGGAAGCCCTCGACTGCACATGTACACACAGCACAGCCTCACCTATGCGGACACCTGGGGCACTCAGACGCACGCCCACACACACACACGCCTGCTCAGCCCCGGGGTACACTCAGGTGCCTGCCAGTCCGCTCGCACAGCCACAGGAGCGAGTGCTGCAGAGTTCCTGCAGGGTTCCCTGAAGGACAGGTGTTTGAGCTGGGAGCAGAGGACCACTGGGCGTGAGCTGTGCAGGCCCCTCGAGGACCTCTGCAGAGGGAGTGGACACTGAGGCCCGGCCCTGTGCACAGCCAGGGCCACTCTCCATACCAGCCCTCCCCCTGGTCACAGTCAGGGCCACCGTCCACACCAACCCTCCCCCTGGGGACCGTGTCTCTCCCACCCAGGATTCTGAGGCCCAGTTCACCCCAAGAGTGCAGAGTCCCTCTGTGGCCAGCACCCCCGATGGGCTGCCCCGAAGCAGCAGGGGGAGGCGGGGAGGCCATGAATATGCAGAGAGCTCCCATAGAAAGCAGCATTATTTCCCAACATCCACAGCTAGATTCCAAGGCCTGACCCCAAAGCCGCTGGGGAGGTGGGGTAGAAGAGAAGTGGGTGCCCTGGGCCAGGCTGAGGAGACAGAGCGAGTGGGCAGCCGTGGAGGAGACGCAGGCAGGGGAGCACGTGCCAGGTGCCTGCCCCTGGGTCTCAGCCTGTGGGGCGAGGAAGCGGAGGGAGGGTAGGAGGGTGCCAGTGGTGAGCGGCAGGCCCGGCTTCATCCCCTCACCCCGCCACACAGAGAGGAGGTGTGCAGGGCAGGGTCGGGGGTTCCGCGGGATGGGGGCACACCCTCCTCAGGGAACAGATGCAGGGACGGTTTACCGGGAAACTCACTATTGAAAGCAGGCTCTCCAACACGCTCCTACACCTTGAAGCATCTGGTCTCCTAAGAAGACATGTGGATGGCCGGGCTCACACAGTGAGGAGAGGGGGATGGAGAGGGTCGGCCCCAGGGAAGGGGCTGTGTCCTGGTAACTGTGTGGATGGCCTGGTAACTGTGTGGATAGCCCGGTGACTGTGTGGATGGCCGGGCTCACACAGTGGGAAGAGGAGGATGGAGAGCGTCGGCCCCAGGGAAGGGGCTGTGTCCCGGTGACTGTGTGGATGGCCGGGCTCACACAGTGGGAAGAGGAGGATGGAGAGGGTCAGCCCTGGGGAAGGGGCTGTGTCCCAGTAACTGTGTGGATGGCTGATGTGGCGATTCCTTGAAGCGCCTCTGAGGTGATGGGACTTGGAGGCCCTGGAGCCCGTGGGGAGCTCAGTCCTGCCCACGTGCCACATATGGGCCACAGAGATGCAGCTGAAGCTGGGGGCTCCAGCCCCATTGTCTCCCCCTCCCAGGGCAAGGACAGCAAGCAAGTCATACCAGGTTCCAGCTGGGAAGCAGCGGGAGGCAGTCCCCACTTCTGGGTAAATCGCAGCCCCGGGACAGCCACACTGAGGCCCAGGGGTGTCTTCTTTCCAGGTCTGCCCTGGCCTGGCTCCCAAGGCCACGGCCCCTTTCCCCAATGCAGTGTCTGTCTCACTAACCAGCTGGCGTGGCCTTGAGGAGAGGAGGCAGAGCCCTTTCCCCAGTGCAGTGTCTGTCTCACTGACCAGCTATATGGCCATGAGGAGAGGAGGCGGAACTGCTCCTCCCCGAGGCCCGGGGCACGACAGGGAGGTGAACACACTACCCCTTGGCCTGCACTGCCCGAGAGAACCCCAGGGCTGCTTCTGGGCCCAAGGAGGGGGCAGATGTGTTCTGCCAGCACAAGGTGGTACCCAGGAGCAGCAGAGCCCTGAGCTGGGGGCCAGAGGCCTCAGGCTGGTCACCAGCAGCCCCCCTCCAGGCCTCAGTTCTTCGATCCATTAAATGGACAAAGGGACCACCAAGACCCTTTCCAGCCCTGGCTCCCAGCAGTTCCCTTGGAGGGTCAATTCCAGGCAAGGAGCTGTGGTTCCCTGCGCCCAACTGGATTTCACAGATGCAGGCTCAGTTTCCCCTGTCTGTAAAATGGGCTCAGTGAGAGCTCCCAGGACTGTGATGAGAAGTGAGATGGCGTTTGTGAACTGCTGGCCTCATGCCAGGCAGTGGCGCTCTCTCTGTGAGGAGAGAAGCGCACACCGCGGCTGGCGCCTTCCACACTGACCTGGGCCCCTGTTGCGAGGCTTGCGGAGTCAAAGTCACACGGTGGTGCTTCCTCGCCCCCCAGGGCCTGGCACGGCTGGGGCCCTGCCTCTCTCTGACTCCATCTCCCACCCTTCCCACCCTTCTGTCTCAGTCATCTCTGGCTGCATGCAAAACCACCCCAGCCCTCAGTGGCTCAGAACAACAATCATGTCCTTTGCTCACAGATCTACAGTTTGGGCAGGGCTGGTTGGGCACAGCTCGTCTGCTGCCCGTGGCATCTGCTGGGGCTGGCGTCTCCAAGTGAGCTTCCACCCAACATGGTGATTGAGTTCCAACATCGAAGGCCCCGAAAGATGAGACCCAGACGCCACCGGCC